AGAGACAAAAAAAGATGTAAACATTTAGCAACTACACAGCCTATACATTAGCTGAAGATCCATGTTGCCCAATCTCACCCTTACCCTCGGAGGAAGGGCCAATTTTCACTCCAAAACAATACAAATGGAAGCAGTAGTCCCTTCTGATAACCTTTTATTGCCCAATAGGGTGGTAAAACAGATCTTGCAGTATCATAAAACCTGTATGAAGTACTTGCTATAAGTAGTGACGAATGACACATCTAATAAAATAGCCTCCTCTTACCACACTTAAACTCTTACAACCCCACCCTCCATAAGGATGAACTCTGACAGTACGAGATTCCAAAAAACAAAAGAACATACAAACTAATCTTCACTGTGTTCACTATACAGTGCTTAAACGTGAGATAGCTAAAACTCAACACAAAATGCATCTGCTCCTTCATTTGTCCCTTATTTGAATGTTTCTTGCCACAACAATCTTTTGGTCCTTCCCAAATCACACTAATTCTTCCACACCTCTAGAAGCTTTGCAGATCTGTTCCCCACAAGAGATCTGTTAACCAACTCTGACACTACTGACAATAGTGTGACAAACAGATGGATCAGACCACACACTCACTATGCAGAGCTAGCAGTAAAAAGACATTTTTTGATTAATGCCTACTGCATTTTTATTACAGAAACTTCCTATTCCCATGCATTCACAGCTACACTTTACAGGCTGACACAGTAACTGGTGGCTACTTGGCTTTGTATAGCAAAAGTCTACAGATACAGATGTCTTAATTCAGCACACAAATTGCATCTGTACAGAAGAGGTAAGAAAATGTATCCTGTACAACTGTACACTAAACCTTGTTTATACTCACTGGTGGCCAAAAGAACTCATCCAATACTGACTAATGTAGAATGGAAAACTCACATACTGACTGCTGAAACATGTTGACACAGATGAATTTACAGCAGTGGCAGTCCACTGGTGATAGACGATTGATGCTATTCTGCCTGATATTTTGGTGGTTATCAATTATAGTCAATGAAATTTTAAAATGTTTTGAAGGAAGAATACCACAATGATACAAAGATACAAGCAGAAAGTACAAAGGCACCAAGACTTTCAATACTTTCCTGCATTCAAAATGCCAAATCTGACATGATTCCCCTGCTCTGTCCAATAGAAACAAGTTAAGCCGGTAAGGGATCAGATCAGATCACACTAAGTAAATTATTTCTTGTACTATAGTACAAGACTTTGTCCCAAAACTGTATGGAGCTAATACAAACGCTTCGGTCCACCGCTGCAGGCTTGTTGTTTTGTTTTGGGGTTGTTTTTTGTTTTTGTTTGATGCATGAGTTCTATCTTCCCTGTGCTCATTTTCCTAGTGTTCCATGAACAACAGATTAACAGGAAACAAGATAGAAGATGGACCAAGTCTTCTAAAAGGAGAAAAGTCCCTTCCAGTCCAGAACACAGAAAAAATTATGTTTCTGGAACAGTTAATACATCTTTTGGGTAACACTCTGAGCTTCAAGGATTTGTACAACCAAGAAGGTCTCACTCCGACAGTAGCAGCCTTGACATTCAACTGCTCAAGAGATGAAGGTTACTAGAATATAAGGAGTAGAGTCTGACCAGAAACACTGAAATTTTAGAACAAGATTGTAATGACAAAAAGGAAAAGACTGAAAAGGAGCAAGCATGTAAGCCACGACGCCAGGGCGACTGACCGGCCCCCAACTCCCGACACTCAGCATTCCGGTGGTATTCAGAGTCTGCGTTCCGAGGGCACAGAGGAGGCGCAGAGCGAGCTGTCCCGCTGGCCGCGGCTCGGCGGTGCTGAAGGGACAGCTCCAGCGGGACAGCACGGGACAGCCCCGCGGGCAGCGCTCCGCCCCAGCCCC